AAAAAAAAAAAAAAAAAAAAAAAAAGAAGTGGTGCACATATACAATGGAATGCCCCTGCCATAAAAATGAATGAAATCTAGTCATCTGCAACAACATGGATGGGCCTAGAGGGTTATTGCGATGAATGAAATAAGAAGACAGAGGAAGACAAATGCCATATGATTTCATTTATATGTGGAATCTAAAAACCAAAACTAACAAGCATAACAGAAACAAACTCATAGATGCAGAGAACATTTTGAGAGTTGCCAGATGGGAAGGTACTGGGGGGAGGGGTGAAAAGGTGAAAAGATTTAGAAGTACAAACTGGTAGTTACAGAATAGTCACAGAGATATGAAGTACAGCTTAGGGAATATAGTTAATAATATTGTAATAAGTACGTATAGTGTCAGGTGAGTACTAAATTTACTGGGGTGATCACTTAGTAAGTTATATAATATCTAATCACTGGGTTTTACATCTGAAACTAATATGATATTGTATGTCAACTATAAGTGAAAAATAAAAAAATATTTAAAGTTAAAAAAAAAAAGTTCATTCATTGAATCACTCCACAAACATTTAAGTACTTAGCCTGGGCCAGGTACCGTGCCAGGCCTGGGGATGTCTGGGGTACTATGGGGCATGACTCTAAGGCCTGTTTCAGAGCCCAATAAACGGGGTAGCTGGAGAGGGTGAAGAGTTAGCAAGAGTCAGGTCGAGAGACAGGCACTAAGCCGAGGCTGACTGCCTGGGAGAAGACAAGGAAAAGCAAATGGGCAAAGAAAAGTGGCCTCCCTCTGTGGACTTCTCTGGGCAAGCCAGCAACGCTGCAGCTTTGGGCCTCAGGCAGTTCACATGCAGGATGGGCCCGTAATTAATAACAACATGATTATAAACTAACAAACACAGATATTCATTAAGCACGTTATTACGTGCCAAGCATTTTATTTTATTTTATTTATTTATTTATTTTTTAAATCCTCACCCGAGGACATGCTTAGAGAGAGGAAGGGAGAGAGAAAAAGAGAGAAATATCGATGTGAGAGAAAAACATTGACTGAATGCCTTCCATACATGACCCGAGCAGGGATCAAACACGAATGGNTATTTTTTTTAAATCCTCACCCGAGGACATGCTTAGAGAGAGGAAGGGAGAGAGAAAAAGAGAGAAATATCGATGTGAGAGAAAAACATTGACTGAATGCCTTCCATACATGACCCGAGCAGGGATCAAACACGAATGGCAATAGAAGTGGCAGCCTTTCAGTGCACAAGTCGATGCTCAATCAACTGAACAACTCCGGCTGGGCAAGCATTTCATATTTAACATCTCAATCCTCACAGCATTCCTAATAAGATAGGTTCAATTATTATCCCCATTGTTCATGTGAGAATATTGGTGTTCAGAGGGGTTAGGTAACTTGCCCAAGATCACACAGTAGAAGTGGTGAAGGTCCAATACACAGGCAGCCTGGCTCCGGAGTCCACAATGCTAACCACTACTCTACTCTGCCTTCCAGGGAGGCCCAACGTTGGATGAAGATTCCAAATGACGTGGACTTTAGTGGCTCCCCACCCTCAAATGAGGCAACGGTCTCCTTTACCCCACAGGCTGCCTCAGGCCAATGCTTGGCTCCCTCTGGAGTTGCATTATTGACATTTAGAGAATGAAGAAACCCTTGAGATTATCCAACCCAGTCACCCATAAGGTGCCAGAAACCCCTCTATGAATGAGGGTCCATCCCGGCCTCTTTTGAATATTATCAACAGCAAGCAGCTCATTACCTACCAACATGGCTAATAAAATTTTGGAATGGCTCTTTCTCTAGAAGGTGGTCACCTACCCTTTTTACTTTCCTCCCCAGAACACATGCACTTCTTGCCAAGAAGCTACCCCAAATCTCAAGCACTGTCATCTCACTGGCCTCCCTGTTCTGCCAGTCTGATTTTCCAGCCAGTTCTTGGGTGCACAGCTCTCCTACGTCATTCCCTAATGCTAGAAACACGAGCCAGTACACCTTGGCTATTCAGGGGCTCACAGAGCGGGCGGTGGTGGGGAAGGCAGCAATTCTGAGTGACCCCAGTGGGTGCCTACCTCTCTCTGCTCCCTCTGCAGGCAGAGTTCCTCGGTCTCTTCCATCAGTTTGTCTGCCAAAGTGAGAATACACACACTCTCATGAAAAGCCACTCCAGATCCGGGCCTGATGGGTTGGTGTCACAGTCACCTCTGTCACCTCCAGCATCTCCCAAGGAAGAGGTCAGCACTGCCGCAGCAGGCCAGCCAAAGGGTGGGGCCGGCTCCTGGGGATGGAAGCTGCTACACTCCTTTCCTGTCACTGTCCCTTCTTTGTGCTTTCACAAGTCAGGCACAGCCTTACCCTTAGAAGCTCAAAGTGACTCTCCGCACCCGCAGGGGTGCTGTTAACCTCTGCACTAGTGTCTGGCTAGTGGGGAAGGGTTGGTCCTGGGGGTAGAGGGGTGTCTGGAACAGGCAGAGGGGAACCAGTGTTGGGGCCCCAAGCGTGTAAGGAGGCTGCAGGGAAGAGGGTCCCAGGCGAAGGACCAAACCCCAGAATCTTCTTCTTTCCCAAACAGCATGTTAACCAGTCAGTCAGGGGCACAAGGGCCTGGAAGCTTATGGTGAGGTTTCAAGTGGTCTGGGGTGTGATAGCTGGAGGAAAGCCCAGGACCTGGGGGCCCAGGGCAGGGTAACACCACCAACTCCATTTATGGAGCCCTTACTGCGAGCCTGACAGTGCTCATAGGCATGTTCTCATTTAAGCCAATCCCCATACCACCTCCAACAGCTAGGGACTATTTTTGTCTCCATTTTAAGGATGAGGAAATTGAGGCTTAGAGAGGCTGTGCTTCCTAAAGACATACAGAATTGACAGAGAAGTGACAAAGCTGGGCCCAGAGTCCAGGCTGCTAACCATCAGGCTCTCCTGCCTCCTGTCAGGCTGGACAACAGGACATTGATTATAAAGCTCTCCAGGCTCCAAAATGGTGTCTGGATCCTCAGAGCCTGCTAAGCCCCACCCAAGACACCTGCCTGGGTCCACCAACAAGCCCCTGCTACCATCAGGGAATGTCAGCTTCCAGCCCATCCCTCCAGCCACCTAAATACTCCTGCTTCTCCTTGGCCAACTGCAGTCCCTGGGCCTCCAGGCTTTTGATCATGGCTTCTCCCAGCTGGGCGTTCTTCCAAGTCCTGGGGAGGGAGGGCAGATGGGACAGAGGAGAGAAGAGGGAGAAACACAGAATCATGAAAAAAGAGGGGTACAGGAGAAAGGGAATGTATGTGTTTTGTATTCGCCCATCCCATCTCTCCAGAATCCCAGCTCACATCCACTCTGGCTCCCCTGGCTCTGGGCATGCCACCAGCATCGATCGGTTACAGTCCCTGGAGGCTGGCCCAGGCTGCAAAGTGGGCCACCGTGGACTGGGCCAACAGCACTTTTGGAGCAGAGATTGCTTCCTGGCTGCTTTTTACAGCACTGAATGCCCACCGTCCGGAGCAAGGCCTGGCACGAGGCATGCACTCAGTATTATTTGTTGAACTAAAAGCATAACCTGACTTGAACAGGCAGGCTCCAGGACCAGGGTTTATGTGAAAATGAACTGTGTTGGGCTGGATGTGGGCCCTGATTTACAAAGCTCTGGTCTGTGCTAGGATTCATGGTGGGCCTCGGGAGCAGAGACAGGGGTCGGGAGGCAGCCAAATCCTACAAATGATGCTGGATCCACTCTGAGGGTTGGAGACAAATGGTGTCCACACCTGCCACCTGTGACTCTAGACAAGCAAGGCTCAGTTTGCTTAAAGCTCACTTAAGAGACCTCTCACAGATGCTCTAAACCTGGCCTATACCTCCTCTCACCCACCCTAACCAACCACAGCCCTGTTGTCCCCACCCTGCCCTTTCCTGGGGCCCTCAGTGCCCACCGGGATCCCAGCAGAGAGAGAGATCAGGGTCAGCCCAGCCCATGCCCCTTCCCCTTCTGGACCTCAGGCAGCCCCCTCCTGCTGGGAGCACTTACACCTTCCCCGACTCCTGCAGCATCTCCAGCCACTGCGTCTGCTCAAACTCGGACTCCGCTGCCAGCAAGATGTTCCCCTGCCAGGAAGAGGGGCCACGGTGCACCTGAGAGAAGGCCGCTCTGAGGACACGGAGGCCGCCCCAGGCCCCTGCAGGCCCGGCTCTGCTCACCCCGGCCCACATCCCTCTCGCACTGACACCCCTCCCAGGCCAGGCCCCTGCAGGGTTGCCCCCAGGGACCTGCGGGATCCAGGAGAAGCTGCTCTGTCCCTGCTGAGCCCAGGCTGTGATGAGAGCTTTACTCACATGAAAGTCCTGGTGGGAGATTTTCATGGCATAGGGCATGCTGGGCTCTTCCTTGGCCTCCACCAGGCAGCCCCCCAGAGGGATGACGCCCTGAGAAAGAACCAGAACAGGCAGCTCTCACCCTGCCCAGCCCAGGTCACTCAGGGCCTGTGGAAGCCCTTCGCCAAAGCCAGGTTCTGCTGGGGCACCAGACCAGAACTCTCCCAGAAAGGAGAGGCAGGGCTGGGCAAGCTCCAGGGCACAGGAGGTCGGGGGCCCAGCCCAGGAGGGGCAGGGGGGCCTTGTGCCCTAGGAAGGATTTGTTCTCCAGACTCTCTGCTAGACCACAGCAAGAAGAGACAGTCCTCTACCCTAACAGAATACCCTTCCCCAACGTCCCACTGGGCCCTCCCCCATTGTGGCTCTAGGGAGAGTCCCCTCACCTTAGGATGTATATTGAAGTATTTATTGGTTTCAAAGCTCTTTTTCTCACTTTCAGAGTAGTAAAGAAGAAAGCTCTCTTTGATGATGAAAAACCTAGAGCAGGTGGTGAAGAAAGGGACAACCGGGAGAGAAGAGTGAGGTTTCTTGGGACAACAAGAGCATCCTTGGGGGCCCTGAACTCACATGGGGAGCCCACGGGCATACCAAGGCTCATCCTCACCGAGTCCCACATCTGGGCGAAGGCCTCAGCTGGCCAGCTGCCCACTGCCCTAGGCAGCTCAACTCTTGCACCAGTGGGCAACTAAAGTGGGAGGCCCCGAGTAGCCCCCAGAGCTGGCTCCTCCATCCCTCTTGAGATGCCACCCTCAGCACAGGAGGACATCTATGGCACTTCCTCCTGGGTACCTTCAGCCCCTTGAGCCATTGTCTCCAGTCCCTTAGGGTCTATTCCAGGAGGGGAGGAAAGAAGACACAGGATTCCAAGATGGGTCTTTTGACAAATGATCATGAAAGCTGGTGATCAAATGAATGTGGGAACCAAGATTGTGGGGCGAAGCCTGCAGCTTGCATGTCACATCTGTATGCCCTTTTGTCTCGGATGCTCCACAGCCTCCTCCTGGGACTCAGGCCTAACTCAGGATTTCTGGGACCCTGGTGCATTCTGACTGTTGGTGAGATGACAGCCTTGATGTCTGTATGTGGAGCACGTGGGCCCACCTGGGACCCTCGCAGGACTAATGATTCAAGCTGACTAGAATAAGATGATCCCATTGTGCCTCAAAGCCCCAGGGCTCAGGGACACCCAGAGTGGCTGGCTCCTTGCTCCCAGGGACCCTGCTAATGCTGCTGTTATAGTGATGGGCCTGGGAGGGCTGGGAGCAGTGGTGAAGCAGGTTCAGATGGGCTCACAGTAGCCAACAGTGTGACTCTCCTCTGCTCTGAGTTCAGTGACATTGTGTTGGTAGCTTGATATCAGTCACAGTGGGAGTATTTACACCATGAAAATCATCAGATGCTACAAAACACTGTTCCACCCCAAGGGAGCCCGTTGTTAACCACTGACCAGCACACCTCTTGTGAAGGGCTTGCAAAGCTGCTGCAGGGGATGATGAAGTCAGTGAATCTCTGAAGGTCCCCCAGTCATGTGATTTTCCTGGGCCACAGCTGCTGCAGGGAGGGCCCCTGGGACCGCGGACAGCTGCCGTCTTGCCTCCCCCAGGAAAGCGAAGCACACTTTGTTCTCTGGTGTGTGTCTCACGCCCACCCATGTTCTCTATTTACACTGACCCTCCCGGCCCAGCCAGACACCAAATGGAGCTGTGGACCTCAGAGGTGACATCTGGCTAAACCAACTCCTCTCCCAGGCCTTTCTAGCCGTAGTGGGGGAAAAACACCTGAATATCATTCTCTGCAGGATGGTGAGAACATTCTGGGCTCTCCAGCACCTGACCCTTGCCCACCTTATCAGCTTTCCTCCTACTTCTGCTCTTCGGCTTCTCTGCTCAGCTGAACACCGAGCTCAGTGCTTCCCACCCTCCCTATGTCCTGCATGACTCTGCAAACACCATGCAGTTCTCCCTGCATCGCCCCCCCCCCCC